GACTTATACATTGTATGTCTCATATACCGACGTCAGATTTCATCATTTTAATAATTATTTGTCACGTTACAAAAAACTCTTTAGAATCTTGAGTGCATACGGCATACAACTAGTAAACACTGTATCACACAATTCTATCAATATAAACATGCGTGTATCTCATATGTATATGTTAGAACTAGATGAACACTTAGGTTCACTTTAACATATGTTGTTTCTCATGTGTCTCCCTTGTAGAAACGTAATTTCATTTGGACGTGCTATATGGGCTGCCTCCACTATGTTTGTACCCTAAGGATGTCAATTCCGGAATCTCGGAATCCCGGGATCCCGGAAGAAAATTTGCCTCGAAAAATCCCGGGATTGGATTATATAAATACCGATTTTTCATGCCATAGAGTATATTGCTTAATTTCGGCACTAAAGTAATTTACGTAAAATCCGACAACGTTGCGACCTGAAAAGAGAGCGACCTGTAAACTATAAACCAGATGATTGTTTCAAAACATCAAATATTTTCGTAATTAAATCAGAGACAGAAAAGCTTTTAATCAGACTAGAGCTCGACAATTCATCAGATACTTCTAGAAGAGGAACCAGCAACGACAGCGAAGAGGATGAGCTTCCCATTGCCGAACTTCTGAGAAGAGAAGATAATGAACCTTTAAAGGTTAAACTGCAGAAAGCTTTACAACAACCTTCAAAGCCGATAAAAACCAAAAGAAGTAATAAGACGCGAATTTATTACCCAAGAAATTGAATTATTTTCAAATGGTGGTACCTAGTCGGGGACGTAATCTCCAAAAAGCTTTTGAATTTTCATCAACCCTTCAGGCCACCAGCGTGGAATCTGAAAGATGTTTTTCTTCGGCAGGGATCTTGTGTAATAAGATACGTTCAAGACAGGGGGATGAAACTTTGAACGGATTAATATTTTTGCCCTATTTTTTTAAAAATTTGTAGCTATAATTTATTTGCTAAAATTTGTTTGGTGTTCATATGATTTTTTTAAAGAGTTTTTTGTTAATTTCCGTGTTTTGTTATATTTATATTAAATTTTTTAACACTGATAATTTTAAACCCGGGATTAAATCTCGAAAATCCCGGGATTTTGAAAACCTTTCGGGATTGACATCCCTAGTCGATTCATAATGTTAATGAGGTTGTTGTTTGTGTCCACTCATCTTCAAGAACCAACTTAATATTTATAATTCCGAACATCTTCAACAAGTTCAATGACTTTTTCACAATCTTTGACACTAAGAATCATATGCAATCGTACACAATAATAATAACCTAAGCCACCTTGTCGTTATAAAGAATAACATAAAAAATAACGATAACTGAAAAAATTGAAAAATGTTTGTGGCAAGTTCATTTTGCTCTTAAAAATTAACCAAGGCCTGTGTTGACATGAGACAAAAAAGAAAATGTTCAGGAGACATGGTTCTGATTTGCTCACGAAATTATTGCACAGGGTGTTTTAACCCTGTATAATAAGTCAAATACTAAAGTATATAATTTTATACAGTTTGCTAAAAAATCAAGAAAATTGGGCTAAAAATAAAAAAATATAACATTTTAAACTTGACCAAAAAATTTTCCGTATAATAATAACAACCATAATAATTAGTTTATATGCTATCGTAATCGTAAAAAAGTTTTACAAAAGCGAGTCTCGATTTTGTCAGTTAAAAGACTAATGCAACTACCCGTCAGAATTTTATATCATACGATCGAAAAAAAAACGGCGTCAAAGACGGCTGGGAAGGACAATCGATGATAATTTTGGCGAGGTCAAGCCCTAGACTTCATTTACTTGACCTGTACTCTTCTTTATTTTTTCATGTCGCTTACTGCCAATTTGCCTAAAGGAGAATGTAATTTAGGCTAGTTTATGTTAGTAACAAATAGGTATTTTTTTAAAAGCACGGTATAACGTATGGATGCAAACTACCACGTTCTACCTTTTTTTAATCCTTATGTAACTAGATTTCAATTTTAGACGAAGTTATATGTCAATTTTTAGCGAATGACGTCTAGAACTTGACCACCCCAAAATGATGATCGATTTATTTTTTTCCCCAGCCGTCTTGATGCCGTTCTTTTCTATCGTCCTACATCCTAGAGGAACACCTTCTTCTTCATGTGCCTTCTCCTCATCGGAGGTTGGCGACCATCAATTGGAATTCCTCCCTGTTTTGAGCCAAACGGATAATTGCACTGGCCTCTCCTATATTAAACCACTGGCACTGGCGCAAATTCCGCAACCAGGAAACCCGTTTACGCCCGATGCCTCGTCGTGCTTCAATCTTTCCCTCAACGATCAGCTGTAGGAAACTATATTTGTTATTTCGAAAAATATGACCAAAATATGCTGCTTTCCGTCGTTTTATTGTAGTCAATAGTTCTTGGTCCTTACACATTCTTTCTAATACTTCGAGATTTGTTATTCGTTCGGTCCAAGATATTTTCAACAGTCCAGGATATTCTCAAATGAATCCAAGCGTGACATGGTCCGTGCCTTCAACGTCCATCCCTCGACTCCGCATAACAATGTAGAGTACATAGCATTTGGTAGCTCGCTATCGAGTAGTCAGATTCAGGTTCCGGTTGCAGAGTAGAGTTTTTATTTTGAAAAAAGTGTTTCTGGCTATTTCAATTCTATGTTTGATTTCTTCATCAGGATCCCATTTATCATTCAGCCAGCAACCTAAGTACTAAAATCTTCTTACCCTTTCTATATTTTCATCTTCCACTTATCCTGATATTGTCAATATTTTGTTTGCTGATAATCATAAATTTTATTTTGTTTATTTTTATTTTAAGACCATGACTCTGACTGATACTGCTAACTCTGTCCACCAGGCACTAGAGGAACTATATTCGTACAAAGTAAATGTTTGTAGTAAAAAGTATTGTTTTGAAAAAAAACAATAATATCGTTAAAATAATTTAACTGTAATTTTTATCGTAGTATTGTCATTTTTTTTGACGTCATATAAAGTTGAAATATAATGGTCTTATGGAAAATAATTTAAATATGTCCGACATCGTAAAATTTTATTATTATTTGGTTTCTACATTGTTAAAAATGGAAATAAGTAATTCTTATGGGGAAAATTACATTTCTAATTTTAATGTGAATAGGGGTTTTAGAATGTTCAGCTGGTTCCAAAAAAAAACGAATACGACTTTTTACACTTTTTTTTCGAATATTTGAGCAGTGTATATCAGTATACGGTAGCAAGTATTTTGACATGTTAAGGTTATTGAGACATTGAATAAGGAGACCTAAAGATGGTTTGAACGCTAATGCATTTTACGCAAATTGACTTGTGCAAGCTGGAACAAACAATTAGCTTAAATTTAACATTAGCTCTTCCGACGTATGTGGAGCAATTTTTACTTAAAAGAAAAAACTTACTATAAATTGTTTCAATAGACCACAAAGTTACATTCGCAAAAAAATTGTTAATCTGGGTTAGCAGTAAAAAACAAACAACCAATCACGGCCGGTCTCGATGAATTTCAGGAACTAAATTTATGACACGGGAATATTTATATTTCATAAAATAGCACGAGGAAATCAAGGTCAAACGTTATTTTGGCTTCAGAAAAATAAGTAAACAAGGAAAAACTGATATGAAAACAGTTACCGATGGTAAATTAAATTGGCTATTCCTCGAAAGTTCCACGAGAATATTTAGTTTTAATCATTGTCTAATATTATTAATTACAATATAGTAAAAAAAATAAAACAGTGACTAACTAGCGATCTACCATTTATCGGCTTATAATCCACGGTATTGCGCCTCATGAACAAAATATACACAAAATTATTTAAAAAATCGTCATTTCTGGTTATGGTAAAGTAACATTTATACTGTAGTCTGTAGCAAAGTTTAGTTTACGAATTTGGTTTTGTTTCTCTAGTTTTAATTGTCTAAATCCCTACATAATAAATACTAGTTGAATGGATTTATATCTAACCATGCTAGGTGCTAATAAAAGTATCGTTTACAGATTTCTCTTAAGAACAATAAAAGAACGTTTAAATAATGTCCGTGGACCATACTTTTGTTGGCATCAGGTCAATTAATAATTTTCCCAAGCGGATATATTGATAACGTTACCGGTATTACTCATCAAACAATACTACTATTATATTAATCAATTAAGTCCGTAAACAAACATATCATATACAATTTTATATACTAATTCATTATAATAAAATTAAATCATAAAAATATTATAATTATATTCCTGCAGTTTAAGTGAAAAGTTTTGTTCCTAAATATCTACTATACATATAATAAACGCGTGTTCAAATATTAAATCTGTGGAATATATATCAATATAAAACGAGATGTATTTAACGAAATATCATCGTAACAACAGCTATTCTAGAAACCTCTAGGTTTACCTATTTCACCGAGATTTGTGAAAAAAAATCCTTTGCCTTGGGTACAGATACCGCCACGTTTTGGAAATACCTCAAAACAAAACAGAATTAAACGAGGCAACAAAAAACGCCAAAAAAAATCTCAAAAAGCTCGCCCTCTTCACGTGTAGTTTTCAGGCGCTTTTAAGAATCGAAAGTAGGTCGAGGCAAACCGAAATGGGTCGAGACAACTGGAAATAAAACGAAATACGTCAAAGTTTTGACATGTTTCGAATTGTTTCTCGCATAGTGTAGTCGCCGTATTACAGTTCTATTGTGTCTCTCTTTCTTGGGTTATAACGAGTTATAACTCACCATACAATCTCAGGGTTTTGACAATAGCCAGTATCTGAGATGGTTTTACAGAGGTTTAAAATATTTAAAATAGGAGTTACTTTTAAACCTTTTTCTTCGATTGCAATGAAAAAAAAGACTTTGCAAGCACCAAATCAACGATTGGATTGGACTCGCGATATTTATCTATAAAAATAGGAAAGAATAATTTGTTGAAAGGTTAAAAAGAGGAAGAAGAAGATATTATGTGTTGATAACTTACCATTTTCGCTAGATAATAAATCATTGTAGTTTTCTATAGCTTGATGCACTATTGAAGCCATTTTAAATCTGTAACAAATATGAATTACGGTTAGATGTAAGAGTCCAAAAATAAAAATAGTAAATACTATAATATAAAATATTGTAGTCCTCTGACATATTGCAAATAAACTAAACTATTGTAATTTAACATATTTAAAATTCTATAGAATTTGCACCTTGTCAATCGACCACTTCAAATAATGTAAATTTATAGAAGAATAAATCATATATTTGTTCCAATGAATCTGCATAAATATATATTAATAGATGCAATTGTTTAAAACTACTTGTCATACAATACTTAAAATTGATTTTTTACGTGCGAAATAGGTCAAGTAAACTAGACTGAAAAAACATGAAATTAAAAATTGCATGAAATGTTTCTCATCATGTTATAGTACATAATCCGACTGCCGGATTATTACTCTCAACGGATTTTTAAACAAAACCTAATTTTTACGTATATTTATGAATAGGGAAATACGCTTTTGACAGGGTGCGTATCAAAAAAAAGTTGCCACAACTATGTTTAATTAATTATAACTGATTTTGGAGACGACATTACGTTCATATTTTTTTCGATAATTTATAGTACAGGGTGGGTCAAATTCGACGTTTTTAATTGGAAACACCCTTTTCTATAGGAGATAGACGAAAACTAATATCGGTGTCTGAGCTCAATTTTCATCAAAAACATGATGGTGAAAACCGCACATCAATATCTGTTACCGTTTCGGAGTTACGGGGTGTTTTTCAAAAATGTACATTTTTAGCAAATCATTGTAACTTTTTTGCTATGGAAAATTTTGTATTTCTATGCAAACATTTCCAAAGCATCTTTTTACGTAGAATTTAATAGTTTAAGTATAAATTTTTTAAAATTAATAATTTAAGAGTTATGAACAGAAAAATTGATTTTTTATTTGGGACACCCTCTATATTTTTCATTAACTGAAAAGAATTTAAAATTACCTTTCCAAGAATATAGCACACTTGATATTTTCTTATAATCCCCTTCGAAATACAGAATTATTAAAAGTTTGTCACTTTTAACTAGTAGGCTTTGGACCCCTTATTGATGATATGCCCTTAATGGAACTCGAAAATATATTTTTCCAGCAAGACGACGCACCGCCTCTGAACGCTGAAAAATTTTTGCAGCCAATTTCAAGAATAATTCAATAGCTAACCAAGATCCCAGCCGTTGGCCGTCGAGGCCGCCTGACTCAATGCTCATGGATCTAATCCTATGGATATATTTGCGGAAGAATAAAGGTTCCTTATTATTCCGTATAATCTAGACAAGAATTAAAAATACTTAGCAGTTATGAAAGGGTATCTTTCACCCCTACTGAGTTAATGAATTCCGCGAGAAATTCAAAAACTGCCCCGTCTATCCATAACAGAAGACGATATGTCGATATGTCGAACACCTGTAGCAAAATCTCATGTCTTGGTTTGCTATTTATTTTTATTGGTATTAGATATAGTTTAAATGTGTTGATGTTGGTTAAATATATTTTAAATTGTTATAAAATTCTGCATCTCTCATAGCAAATATTATTTTCGTTTTAATTAATGCTCCCATCTAGACTTTTTTTGCATTACAGCCGGTGCCGTTCAAAGCCTACTTATTTAAAGGGGGCGAATTTTTATATACTCTATATCTCGAAGAGGAATCGAGCAAAATATCAAGTGTGTTATATTTTTGGAAAGGTAATTTTAAATTATTTTCAATAAACTAAAAATATACAGGGTGTTCCATATAAAAAATAAAATTTTCTGTTGATAATTTTTAAATTATTAATTTTAAAAAAATTATACTTAAACCATTAAATTCTACGTAAAAAAGTGCTTTGGAAATGTTTTCATAAAAATACAAAATTTTCCATAGCAAAAAAGTTACAGCGATTTGTTAAAAATGCATATTTTTGAAAAACACCCCGTAACTTCGAAACGGTAACAGATATCGATATGCGGTTTTCACCATCATGTTTTTGATGAAAATTGAGCTCCAGACACCGATATTAGCTTTTGGCTTCTCCTATAGAAAAGGCTGTTTCCAGTTAAAAGCGTCGAATTTGACCCACCCTGTACATATATCAAATTAAAGTTTTTTTACTCTGTGCATGATGGAAGGGTGCCTATCAAATAGTTCTCTCCAAAAAATCCTATATGGGTATTGCGCCACTGCACTGCAAGAAAATCTACAAAATAAAATAGTTATTTTTTGTAAACACTTCTGGGCGTTAATCCCAAACGGAAACAACTTGTCAGAAGTTATGTTTACAGTTATACAAAATTGCCTAACAAAGAAAAAAATGCTTAACGTTTCGGAAACTTTATCTCTTTCCGTCGTCGGAAGCAAAAAAATACAAAGAATAAAGAAGAAAACTATTTAAATTCAACTATTCGACAACACTTTAGTTTTTTAAAACAGATACGTCTACAAGAAAACCGTTGACGTTCTGTTAAAATGACATTATATCAAGTTAAACTTCAAAATTAACAATTACTACCTGATAACAATTACTTAATAAGGTAAAACCAAAAAGCCCCAAACCTTCTGTATGATTATTTTTAAATTTTACGTATGTTATGTTTATTTATGTTATGTTCTTTAAAATCAAAGAAGCGATTGCCATACATTACTAACATCTACAGATACATGAGCAATATATTTATTTTTATTAGAATGTATTAAAAGAGCCTCTTTTATTTTTCTTTTAGAGGCTATCGCTTCTTTCATTATAATTTTGGCGTTATTAAAATTTATTCTGTGCCCTATGTCCATGAATGCTGACAAATCTTAGATTTGTGAAAATCTCCCTTTCTTAAATAATTTTTATGTTCTTTAATTTTAACATTTAAGGATCTAGATACAGAACAACAAACAAAAAAACGTAATATACCAAATACCATGTGAATGCGATAAATTTTACATTGGTGAAACATCTAGACCCTTAAATATTAGAATTAAAGAACAAGATTATTTAAGAAAGGGAGATTTTCACAAATCTAAGATTTGTCAGCATTCACGGGACACAGGGCACAGAATAAATTTTAATAACGCCAAAATTATAATGCCAAAATTATAAACGAAAGCTCGCAATAAAGGGGTTCGTTATAGGCGGATATTACTGTATTTAAAAACGTAAGTTCAAGGAGAATTCAAAGTGTCTTGTTTTCCAAATTAAAATTTATGTTTAGAAAATATGCGATAATGGTTTTGAGTAGTTTATTTACTTCTTCATTTCTTTACTGACAAATAATGCAAGTGCAAAGCTTGTAAATCTTATTTTTAAATATGCCAATGTGTTAATAAAACTCATAAAATTTTAACCACCTGTCTTCACTATTATGAGTCTGAGACAAGTTGAATGAGGTTTTAGTGCTTTTGTGCTACTTTTGTTATGTTGAATTTATCAATTATTGTTGTGTGTACATTATAATTATCGAACGCTAAACTTTTCAATTCTCAACCAATTATTTTTATCTGCAAGTTATATAGCTTATTAAAACTTGTTTAATTATTATGCTGCACTTTAAATAGTAATATATTATCCAACTACTTTCTATTTGCGTAAAAAAATAATAGATTTTGTTTATTTTTAACTATTCGTATTAAAAAGCAAACTTAATGGACACGTGTCTATTTATCATATTTCTTTATTCGAGTACCTACTTTGCAAATTTCAATTTGCGGTCCCATAAATAACTAGAACTTAACACAAATGTGTTGTCTCAAAATAATTATTTTCGTTATTGATTATATCCTAAAGTTTCCACAAAAATCTAGGTATTTTTATACTAATTTAGTTGTTTTGTATGAAACTGATGGCTAATAATATTTATAATCTTACCTATTATATTATAACTATCTACATGCAGTAATTACAAAACAAATAGTATATAAAATAAAGCTTGAAAATATATTATGTGCCTAGATATTTTAATCGTTCTCTTCTGTAATAAATGAAATAAGCTTTTTACTTTTAAATTATTCAAATACGTAATTATATATCGAGAAAGTGAGTCTCAAACTAGTTGTGTTTAAAGAAAATAATTAGATATTTTCTCCTAATGACTTATATACAGGGTGTCTCAACATAGATGGTTCAATTGAACAAAATATAATTACAGTGTTAATGATTTTTAATACCATTTTTGGTAGGGTGTCTAGCATATACTCTGTGCCCAAACATAAGCTGTGGCAATTTCCCTACCATGCAGTGACAATTTTTTCTGTCATGCACAGATAAATTGTATTTTCTGGCATTTTCTGGATGTCGTCTAGCAAATTCTTCCCTGTCCTCGTTGGAGAGACTATACTTCACATATTATATAAGCGAAACTAGGAGAACTAAACCAATTAAGCGTCTCAGATAAATATGGACTAGAAAATCCTGTGAACTGAAAGCAATAACAGGTGTTATGTGGAGGATTAAACGGGAATTTTCTTTTTGAGGAGAAACAAAGCTTGAGGGTTTATCAAGATACCATATAAAAATTACATTTTATATCTGATACAGTTTATTTTTTAACTATTTAATTAATGGTGTTTTTTTGCTTTTAATTTTATTATCTAGTTATAATTTTACAGGGTGTTATCAGCAATATTACATGATCAAAGAACTACTACGTATTTTTGTAATCAAGATAAGTGAATTGGTCATATTTTTATCCCTATACACACATTTTTACGATATACATTTTTAAGATAATTTAACAATCTACATTCGGATTTGAATGAGATTTGGCATGTCTATCTCTAACTAAGCTTAAATACTTTCACAAAAAAAGCAGAAAAAGTACTAGAAGGGTGAACTACCCTCATTCTTACATAAATTCTAGCAGTATTGTTTTGAAACTTCGACTATTTTTTTGCTTGAAAAGGTCCTTCTAAAAAGGTCACCTCGCATAATTTTTGAGAAAAAAAAATGTTTTCCGCATCTGATCAAAAATTATCTTTGATCGCATCATAAGTTAAAATCTAAAGGCGGACTCTGACGACTCGTGTACTTGAC